GAAACACAATATCATAATATTACAAAGTCGTAATAGTAATCACAATTAATTATTTTTGATTAAATGATTAAAATTTATTACAAATGCACATAGTAGTAGTAGTAGTGATAATAATAATAATAAAAATTTAGAATTAAAATTTATTGTATAACAAAATGGACAAATATACCCTTAACAAACACTGGTGCAAATTGGAAGAGAGGTAAAAATGCATTTAACCATTTTGGTCCAAATGAATAGTGTTGCACCAAAATGGTGCAATGGGTTGGAGGAGATTTGCACCAAAATTTTAGTGAATTGAGGTGCAATTAGGATGGGTTAGAAATGCTCTAAACTATCCATTTTGGTAGATAGATTCTGACTCGGCCGATGATTTTGTGGACAGTTTTCCTAGGGGCGTAGCTACAAAATTAGTCCATGTTCGAGCTCCATTATCTAAAAATTATCACATATTCTCCCAATAAAATAATTTTGTACGTAAATCAAAAATATTTTCCTACTTTTTAACCATGCATTCTCCATAAAATCACAATTTCAAATTTTATTTTTCCAAAAAATGGAGCTCAAACGAGGGCTTAATTGAATACAATAATCAAAATTGGAGAGCCTTATTGATCTTGGAAACTACCATAAGGGATCATGGAAGGGGGTGGTGATGGCATAGATGAGGGTTAGGGAAACATTTGACTATGAAGTGGCTGAATCACTTGTTTTTCGCCATAAGTAATGCTATTTCTTGTGAAGATTATCAATAGTCGCCATGCAGCATACATATGATAGTTTCTTATTAATACATTATGACAACTATCGATAGTTTTCACAATGAATATCGTTATTCTCTTGTCATGGCCTTCTAGGGCTATGGATTTCAAGCGACAAAGTTAAAGCCAAATGCATAAAGAGTAGTTCAAAGTTTGAGTCAAGTTCTTCTAAAGGCACCCAACGTAGAAATATTGCTTAATATTTTATCACTCTTATCTATGACAAGCGATGGTCTTTGTTGCTATATCCATTATTCAGGGATATGGCAGCCATCGACTTGGCTATTTTGCTATTGTTTTTTCAGGTTTTACAAATTGGTTGATTGCGTTCTGTTTTTCTTATCATTTATTGTTTTTCGAGGGATGTTACTTTATATTACTTGCCAATTTTCTCAACAACAAAAAAAATTAACAATATAAAAATAATGTTCAGTGATTTTAAAAGTTTCATTCAAAGGAAGTGCAGTTTATTCTTACTAGAATATAAAGTTTAATCTCAAATTAGACATCACTTAAAAAAAAATATTAACAGAGGCAATTGCCGGTGTAATTGTATGCTATAAGGTTTGTTACTGTGAATGTGTAATTTGCGAAGGATAATTTTGTCATGTAACCAAAAATTTCCACGCAGAACCTTCAATGCTCGAGCTAGAACTCGGGTTAAAGGGAAAGTTGAGATAATAATGAGAGGATTGTAGAACATATTTTATACGTATCTTTCTCTTATGTTGTTCCCTTCTTATATGGTGGTCGTAGGGTAACAAAATTTTGATATTGAGCATGATTTGCACTGGATTTGATGGAGTTATTGAATCATTCGATTACATGCTGATTTTCCAAACCATGATAGCAACTTGTTTGGCAATTTCCTTTTGAGTATGCTTCACTATGAATAGTATTATTTTTTTCCTTTTTTCTAGTCTAGCAACTAATTAGTATGGTGGGCAATTAATTTGGGGAAAAATTCATGGTTCAGGGCTTTACTTTTAGGAAATCAAAAATCAGGTCTCAATGTTTAAAATTGCAAAAATCAGGTTTTTTTAAAATTAATTAATTATATTTCGCAATTATTATATTAAATTAAATATTTAACTATAATATAATATAATTAAC